CATTGCCCGAAGACAATTAGAGGCATTGAACGAATCGAAGTCGCCAGGACCAGACGAGATTCCATCCAAGCTTCTGAAGGAACTTGCCAGTGAGCTTTCTGTGCCTTTGTCGATGCTCTTTCAAACGTCATTTGACACTGGAACACTTCCTATCGATTGGAAGCTGGCGCATATTACTCCGCTACACAAAGGGGGTAACAGGGCAGCAACGACAAATTACAGACCCATAAGCTTGACATGCATTCTCTGCAAAGTTATGCAAAGGATCATAAAGAATGAACTGATGCAATTCCTGGAAGTTCACAGCCTGCTATCGAACTGGCAACATGGGTTCCGGAAATGAAGATCCTGCACGACAAACTTGCTGCAATCTCTCCAGAGCTGGACCCGAGCTCTCGACGACAGGCACGCGGTCCACATAGCCTTCATCGACTTCCAGAAGCCTTTCGACACTGTGCCACACCAAAGGCTCTTACATAAGCTAAAAAAATAGGGATCGGTGGCAACTTCCTTAAATGGATCGAAAACTTCCTTGTGGGTCGACACCAGGTTGTGTGCGTCGGTCGGGGAAAATCAGATCCGGCTATGGTCGATAGTGGTGTCCCCCAGGGTTCAGTACTGGGACCCATTTTGTTCCTTACCTACGTGGACGATGCCGCAAGAGATTTAGACTGTGAAGTAGTAATGTTTGCGGATGACATGAAGATATGGAGTGTAATTCGGTGTCCTGCCGACGAAGACAGACTGCAGATGAACCTGAATCGGTTGGAGGCGTGTTAAACCGTTGGCTCCTGCGGTTCAACGTTGCCAAATGTAGCATACTTCGCCTGGGCAACACAGCCAGATCCGCCAGCACAAGAGGCTACTTTCTGGGCGGTGCAGCCCTACAAGAGGTCGAAGCCCAAAGGGACCTCGGTGTGCTGAAGACGAGTTCCCTAAAACCATCCGCGCACTGTTCGAGGGTGGCAAAAAGCGCAATGTCCGTACTGTACGCCATCAAGCGTGCGTGTATGGACTTTGACGAAGAAGCTTTATCTAAGACATTCGGAACATTCGTCCGGCCGCATTTAGAGTACGGCATTCAAGCTTGGAGGCCGTGGGCTGCTGAGGATCAAAATTGCCTCGAAAGAATCCAGAGGAGAGCCACGAAGATGGTTAGGGGTCAAAGCTCCTTTCCTTATGCAACCCGCCTAGTAAATCTGAACCTCTTTCCTTTGTGTTACAGTCAACTTCGCGGAGATCTCTTGCAAGCCTTCGGCATTGTGAAGGGGTTGGATTGCATCCTGGCCTTCGAGGACTTTTTGAATTTGCTACCACGACCAACCTCCGAGGTCACCCGTTAAAACTGCGCACTCAGCAGGCACGGCTGGATGTGCGGAAGTTCTCCTTCGCGGTTCGGGTGGTCAAACCATGGAATGAGCTTCCCGCAGATGTTGTGATGTCACCTTCTATATAAAGTTTTAAGAAGAATCTGGACATATTTATGTTCCGAAATGACCAAGAGCGATGAGAAGTCGAGCTCACCCCCTGTAACTCCTTCTCGTTTTGTCCCACCATTATGGGCGTGTTCGAACTATTTCAGCCCAGAAAATCTGTCTGTACACCACACATTTTTTGCGTTGCAAACAGGGTACTCAAAGGCTTACGCCTATTTCCCTCAGTAAACTGAACTGAACTGATCTAAGAGAAGGCGGCGTACCCTAAATGGAACTGTACTACCTTTCTTTTGGGTCGGAGTCTGATTTCGTTTTGGAGTCTCACATTTCTGACGCCTAGCCATAGGTGACTTAACTGTAGAGCTTGCGAGACCCCGTTGAACTGGGAAAGTTATCGGTCTAGCTGATGTAGACGGATTTTCATGCGTCCTAGTTGGGCTATCCGGAATATGAGAAACGACAACTGGGGCTACCGCGGCTGCTACTGATGCTGCTGCTGCTGTTACTGCCAATTCGGGGGTAGGCGAACGCGTCAAGTGGCCTGAGTGAGAAGGAAATTCGATTATATAACGTCCTTTAGATCTGCCCTAGAGGGCTGTTCGTTTTTTGGTCTCCTGTGTCCTGCTGGGTGGAAGAAAGTAGAATCCGCCCATCGTTTTTTTACCAAGAGCGTTTTAACCTCGGAGCGCCGAAGGTTGACCTACTAAGACCTCGCAAGCTTTCATGCGTTGATCCCTTGTGGTTTTGTCAATTACAGAAGGGATTATTTTTTACTGTTTAAGCTTTTAACACTCGTACTTTTAACCCGCTTAGCACTTCAGAGCCTCCTGACAGCGCCGACGCAACAGTCACAGTGAGGTCTTTATTATTCGTCATCTGGCACGCAATGTTAAATATCAACAGTTTTCTTTTGTGGACACCATCGTGATCGGGAAAAATTTACCGAAGAATGTGAAAATTCTGTAAAATTTTCTTTGTTTAAGAGGATTGCCAGCCCTTTTCCGCATTCAGAAAACACCCACGATCTTTGGGTGACGATTCCAACGAATTGGATAATCAGAGCAGGGCTGGCATTTCGGGAAAACAGTGGAATACAGGGATCCTAAGGCGAATGTACAAAAGAGGTTTTAATGTTAGGGAGACAACCACCGCCACGTTTGCGGACGTCGCTATCCACGTCGTCGTCATTGACTCTTAGTAATCCATTATTTACTCCGCCAATCTGCACCAAAAACAGTTTGGAAGAAGGACGCCTTTTATGTTGGAATGAACAGGTTAAATTTTAAATAATTGATGGGGAATTTTTTCCTAAGTTTACTCCGCGAGATTTTAATAGAGATAGCAACATCTCACCTATGTTATTTCTGTTGCTTGCTGATTCATTCAATGTTTTTGGATGCCCTTTAATGTTCTTTTTCTCTGTATGCCTTCAGAGACAAGCGTCAAGTTATCCACGTGTCTGAGGATTCTGGATTAACCGTACACTTTGCTTGCTACATTGTCAACCTAAACAAACATGACTCGCGACCTTTCCCGGCGTTGTTGTCTTAGGTTGTATGTTTCGCCTGCTTGTACTTGTGGCTGTAGGACACCCGACTACCCTTATAGTATAATGGGAGAATTAAGAATCATACCTTTGGGTTTGAAATTCTGTTCATATAATCTTAGTAAAAGGCGCCGGTCAAGATGTAGGTCGAAGCTGCATACTTGTATCCATTGGGGGCAAAAATATAATGCTTGATTGTGGCATGCACATGGGCTACAATGACGAGGTTTGAACCCAAACTTTATTAACTCGTTAGCGGCGCTTCCCCGACTTCTCCTACATTGTCCAGAAGCACGACTTGACTGAATATCTTGATTGTGTTATTATAAGGTATCCCATGCTTGTGGCTGTGTATTGAGCAAGTCATTTTCACCTAGATCACTGTGGTGCGCTTCCGTACATGACGGAGATGGTTGGGTACGATGGTCCCATTTACATGACACACCCAACGAAGGCAATATGTCCTATTCTTTTGGTGGGTAGTTAATTAAGAATTTTCAGTTCCAGGACGATTATCGTCGTATTAGTGTGGAAAGGCGAGGGGAGCAAAATTTTTTTACAGCTGAGATGATTCATCGCAGCATGGCGAAAGTCCAGTGTGTTTATCTTCACCAGACTGTCAAGGTATGTCTACGTCCTCGCAGGCACGTTCCAGGTTGATGAGGATTTGGAAATTCAGGCTTTCTATGCTGGACATGTACTCGGTGCTGCACTCTTCCTCGTAAAAGTCCGTGACCAGTCATTCCTGTACACGGTAGGTTAGAAATAGATCTTTATTCCTCAACAACAGGGGGATTATAACATGACACCTGACCGTCACTTAGGCGCAGCGTGGGTTCCTAGGTGCCGACCTGATTTACTTATCACAGAAACAACTTATGCAACAACTATACGCGACTCAAAGCGTGCAAGAGAGCGCGAGTTCCTCGAGAAGGTCCATAGCAGGGTTGACGCTGGTGGAAAAGTTCGTTCAGCCTTCGGTTTTCTTTCACTGCTTAGGTGCTTATCCCCGTATTTGCTCTCGGTCGTGCACAAGAACTGTGCATACTTTTGGAGACGTACTGGGAAAGAATGAATCTCTCAGTCCCTATTTACTTTTCAACTGGAATGACCGAGAAGGCTAATGAATATTACAAGCTTTTCATCTCGTGGACGAGCCAAAAAATCAAGGAGACATTTGTTGAACGGAACATGTTTGACTTTAAACACATAAAGGTTTGTCTGCCGCTGAAGCTGTATTTTGACGTCTTAAATTTCTTAGTCAGACATCGCTACTATCCTCCCTCCATACAAAATGATCCGTGTCTATCATTAATCACGCATATTTTTAGTTTACCATCATGTTTATGCCTCCAGCCGTTTCATTTCAGTTTATCGACGGAAAGTGGATGTGCACCCTGGAATACCCAATTGCCAGTATAATAACGCGCGGTCTGGAAACAGTCTCGTAAATGTAATATAGGTTCGCGCATGGAACTTACGTGAAAGCTTGAGCCGTTCAGTGTCCAGATCTGTTCAAGAACCTGACCTTGTGAGGGCTCTTTTTAAGGTCACCGTTAATAATGACGTCACAAAATTGACCAAGAGAGTATTCAGTTTCCTCACCCTTCTCGGGAAAGCCTTTTCAAATCGAGTTGCACCTGGGAAATATAAAGTGGGAATGGCCCTCGCAGAAGCCCTGGATGCTTGGGAGTTTCCTCTGATCTCCTTCGTCTGAAGATTATGCTAGGCCCTCTGGTGAGGCGCATTGTCAGATACTTTTCTAGTGTCACTAGAGAAGACGAAAACTACGTATCAACCGTTGAGCGACCAGGTCCACCTCTGGAAGGAATGCAGCAAGTTGAGCACACGCCTGCCTTTCGGAAAACCGTGTTGATGGCAGACTGTGGACTTCCAAGACACGTATCAGCTCGTTCTTTATAATCCTATCTAAGACTTTGCAGGGGATATGTGTCAAACTTACGACTTTATTACCTGTTTCCAAAGTCTGACTGCTGCCGTTATAAAAAGGGCGTCATATGCACTGGTTTCCAATCGAAGAGAAGAGTCCCGGGATAAACTTGGATTTGAAGATGGTCAATCGAGTCTTAGTAAGTTTTTTGACAATGCATGAAATAAAGTGCGGACCAGAAGCTTTCGGTTCATATAGCACTTCTAGTTCGCTCACAGGCTGTTTACATTTGCAGTTCGTAGCTTCTCCAGTGTAGGGCGAACGTACCGTGCTTCCTTCGTAAGGACGGACTTGAAGAACTGAAATAATCTTTACTTCCTCTGGTATTTGCAGTTTCGAGGCCGTTTTCAGCCTTTTAGCTAAAATAACTATCGGTTTATTTCAGTAAGGGCGAAACTAGCCGCGTTGACTTTTCGTCCACTCGTAGCGATGGAAGCAGAAACTACTTAAACTGGCGTCCGTGAGAACCTTTTAGGGGGATTTATGTCATGGTGGTTTCTACACAGTAGTCTTGACATTGATGACGGAGGCGACATCGTCGTTTCTGTCTGTGTGGACCGTTCCTGATTTCCCGCGTTTGTTTGGGAACCTGTGTGCCGATCAGTTAGCGCTGTTAGAACTGGAGGCTTTTCTCGTCAACTGCGCTGTTTTTCAGTTACGCTTTTTCCTCTGTTGAATCCTTAGTTTTTGCTGGGTTGCAGCCAGTCATTCGCGGCGTACTTACTCGTACTTGGTACGGATGCGAGCGTGCCTGATCTCGCGGCGTCAGGACGTCCTCAAGCTGGACAACAGCTGAGGGAATGGGGAGGGCGAGTAGCCAAACCCCCTCAATAGCGTGACCCAGTCATCCTCGCTCCCGTTTTCAGCACCACGTATTGCCCGGCAGTTTAGTACTGCGCTGACTCCGTGCAGGGGAAATGTCGAAGTCGTAATAGTAAAACAGTGCGTTACGTAGCCGGTTGAAGTACTCGAAATTCCATACAGCATCGACTCATTGCGGTCATCATGCGCATTATGTTTGCAAATCCCCTACTGCCATTTGTTTTGTTTTCAAATCTCTATATTAACCACTTTTCTTGTCATCAGGTGTGATAGCAGGTGTAGACTGCACTTCAAAGTTGTTTTAGCTTGGCGATAATTATGATGGACACCACTCTTTTATCTTTCCAGCCATTAACACCCGATGTCATTGACATGCCGGGTCCCATGGTCGTATTTGCGACCCCAGGCATGCTGCACGCGGGACAGTCTTTACATATTTTTCGCAAGTGGGCTCCGGATGCAAACAACATGGTCATAATTCCAGGGTACTGCGTGGCCGGGACGGTCGGCTACAAGGTAAAAAACGGTGCTTACTAAATACTACTAAGTAAGCAGTTTTAAAACAGCCAATGATTACAGTTTATGAGAGGCTGTTCAACCGTTTTTTTATCTCTCATCCTCATACGTAGGACTTCCATGAGAGATTCGGCTCATAGGTTAATCCCCAGCCTTACCTGTCGGATTTTTTAACCTGCCATGTAATTATTTCGCTGCTGGAAGAACTTTAATTCATCACAGAATATACTCCACTGAGGTTTGCACACAGGAGGCTTTCCTACACAGGTTTGAAAAGGCCTTTAGAAGCCAGTCTTTGGCAGATTGCTGACTTCGAGTCATAATACGTTGCAAGTTTCAGGCCAATGATCTTTTCGGATAGCTCAACGTCCATTCCTTTACTGCCATCCAGATTCTAAACGGGGCCAGGCGTTTAGAATTCGACAAGCAGACGCTGGAAGTTCGTATGCGCGTTGAATACTTATCTTTCTCCGCACACGCCGACGCCAGGGGCATAATGCAACTGATTTCACAGTGCCGCCCTGGCCATGTTCTTCTGGTCCATGGCGAAGCTAGTAAGATGGAGTTTCTCAAGAGCCGTATCGAGTCCGAAACCAAATTGCCCTGCTCGATGCCTGCCAATGGCGAGATAGCAATTGTTCCCACGCGACCTCAGTTTAACATCCGAGCACCTACAGATATGCTGAAAAAGGTTTTGGGTAAGTTTTAACTGTAATATTCGTTTTCTTGCTCAGTGGTTGCAATCTTATGTTTACTGTCGACTGAAGCTAAAAAACTCCGTGGGCTATGTTCCATATGTGGTCTGAGAAATCTGGTTTCCACTACTTAACTGCAAGTTTGCTCGATAATTTTACGCGAAACTCTATCTGCTATCTAAACCTACCTGGCCTACATGGTTTGCCCTAGTCAGAAAGATGTAGCTGTATTTATCCTACCTTAGTAGAAAACCACGTGCTGTGGTGAACATAAACCTCTACCTCTACTTTAATTGCCCTCCTAGTTCCCATGTGATTGTGTAACGTTTCTCAGGAACCTGTATTTACAATTGAATAGTCTTCCTTTTGCCTGACGCCAGACTTTCCCTAGTTTGCGGGTCCACCGGTTCGTGTGACAGTGTAACTACGTCCTCTTCGCAGCCACCGCACTTCGTGCTCAAGTTTGTCATACTTTGTCTATGACTAGTCCGAAGCCTGACGCCTTTTCTTTTCTTTTAGAGGAACAGTCTACCCTGAAGCGGTTGAGCAAACAATCAACGCCGTTCCATGGAGGTATACTGTTGAAACCGGATGTACGTACCCATCACACATCCATTTTAGTTTGATTTTAATTAGTCATTTTTTTCCACCACTTGTAACAATGTGCAGGCACCCATATGTTTATTGTAAATTTGTCTATTCGAATTAGAAAGTTTTAGTTCTCGTTAATCCCAGGGGCTATTTATTTTCTTCATTTTAAGTCGGAACCCCTCCTCCTTGACCGAAAATCCGCGTTGGAGTCGGTGGGATTGCGTCAGCATTCAATGATTTTCACTTCCAGCCATGCCTTTACAACACACGAGTCGGTTCCCAGTCTACTAAAGCGGGCTTCTAACATCTGTACCTCGTAAGTTGCCTGTTACTCCACAGCCTACGCCTTGGACCTCTGCCCACCCCAGAAGTTCGTGCGTGACTGCGTCTGACATTATTGGTGTTTCTGTCTGTCCCTCGCTAAATGGACTCTGCCGTCTCCCCTCTTAGGTACATACCCAAGGAGAAACTTGAACTGGGCACCGATGAGGTGGTTCTTCTAAACCGTCTCATTGTCCAATTCATGCCCTGTCTCCTGCCTCCGCTCAATGGCGATGCAGGCTCTACAAAACAGGAGATCCTTTTGACTGTCACTTATTCTGTCCAGGTACGTTCGGGGTCAATCCTCCCTCATTCTTGTCCCTCACTCTTACTGTTCCCTCGCATTTGGGACGGCATTTTGACTCCATGCCTCAAGTAATAGAATACTTGTCCACCAAGATTCCATCCAGGAGGCGGAAGCGAACTATCCAACCAAGGAGGGACGAGTAAGAAGGGACTGCCTTTAGTATTGACAACTTTCTTGGTTTGACCAGATTTTCTGGAATAGCACTACGAATTGCCCCCTCGTCCCCTTCACAATCGTCGTCATTCTCAGTCTACGCGCCTGGCCTAGGACACGATGAACCGGCTTCCGCTCAGTCCGGCGTTCACCACTCTGCAAGATGCATAGGCTGGGAGGGACACCAGTGTTGGAGCCAGGGAGAGGACCGATAGACCGAAAGGTAGAGTAGCATACCAATAACCGAAGTAGCGCTGGATCGCTATTTTCCACGATCAAACTGATAGCTCCCCACCATCTGGCCAAACTATGGTCTTTTTTCTGTGATAGTTGACTCATCGATTTCGGCGGTTTCTGTAGCACTGCTATGCACAATGTTCGTCCCGACGCACAAAGTGAATTGCGTCGCGAAATCTGTAAGACGAATGAGTATGAACGGCGACATTTGAGGATTCAGCGAGACGCCGTAATTCATCGAGCTTCAGCTTCGCCATCGTGTCAGGTGTCTCTGCAGTTGTACCTCCCGCTCTGGAGCGCATTTAAACTGGACGGGTTCGATAGTTAGGCAGCATGTTTCTCCCTTTGGCAATGACGCTATTGGCATGCCTCGGCTATCTCGGGTTTTACAGTAGGTTGTTTTCTGGTTTGATCCAATCCACAAGATCCCAGTCATCCTACTGGCATCAATGCTGACCGGAAAACCATTATGCTGGAATTCTTTAGGTCGTGCCGTGCTCTGAGCGAGGCCCTCGACGAACCCATCCGAAGCTCAGGTCACTTCGAAGACGATCAGTCGTAGCACTATCAGATAGTCGATCGTTTCACCAAATTTCAAACCTTTGCCTACACGGTTGCTGCGGCTTGATACCCTAAAGGTACTTTTGAGAGTTCACTTCAGCTCATGCCAGTTATTTTCGACTGCGGACTCATCGCTGGTTGCTGTCTTTGGCGTCAGTGCAGCTAAGTGCATTTACGCTTTTAAATACTTAACCCACTTTCCTTATTTTCTGGCATTTAACACACCACCCAGATGCCCCACCCGTAAAACCCCTGTTGCCATCATTCCCGTAAGACAGGCGGCTGTGGCCAGTTGGTGATACTTGGGGGCCTTTACTAGATCCTTACCACGAAGTGGTTGGGGACAGCTAGAAGGAAGCCCGCTCTAATGACAATAACCTGTAAGTTATAAGCGTTGCGCTCTCTCGACATCACCTCTGATCTGTAGCCCTGCCCTTACAAGAGCATGGTCAGAGCCCTTCTCCCGGTTCGCGTGAATACCATGTTTCGCGTGTAAATTTCGCACGGAGATAGCCCCGTTTGTTTCGACGAATATGCAACCAATTTTATTTTGAGGATTGCAGTATCCCTGTTTAAAGAGACCGTATTTCTCCCGGCACATAGGAAACAGGTGCAGTATACGCCGAAAATCACGAAATGACGACCGAAACCCTTAACTTTACTTACATAAGCTTACCAATTTACCAATTTACTTCAAATACAGCGGCATACTGTATTTGATATAAAACCTATCCGATAACCTGCGTTGATTTCACTGTCGATCGTGCCCGGACTGAAGAGGGGAATAACGTTGAATTACACCGTCTCGACTGGCTCAGGAGTATATCGAGGGGCTTGAAAATGGATGTCCAAGAAACTACAGCTCATAGTAGTATGTTTGCAACAAGACTTGTGGTAAAACGGGCACCTGACTTGTGAATCTTTGGAACATCGGCTATCATCACTGTAATTGTCTCGACGTCGTCCGACTCCACCTCCGGCCGTCCCGACATAGTCTGTCCATCAGGCCCAGGAGGGTGAGGGAGGAGGGATTGCAGTAGATGCTGCACAAGTCTGCTACCACTATAAACTAATTTACGCCCAAGTCACCGTCCCCGCACCCACATACTGTGGGACACGGTGAACATCGTCGATTGCAACGGTCTAACTGAAACGTCTTGAGACGTCCCGATGCTTATGTCGTTGGCACACAGCGCGTTCTTTGGTCCGGCCTCGTGCAAGCGGTTTAAAGTAATCGGGTCTTTATCCTTTGCTCTAGTGAAGTACCAACGAATAACCGTCGTGGAAGGAGGAGGAGCTTGATAAACAGCTCAGTTCAAACTTAGTCTGTTGACCCGTGGCTCTGCTACAGAAGAGGGACGCCGTTCGGAGAACAGAAAAACTCTGATAACACCAGGTTTATAACCATGGTAAAGGCGCGTTCACCGATAGGGTTACGGGAAGTACTCGTCCCCATGTGCTTTGGGACTCGATGAGTATTTTTTCGTAATTCTGATGAAACTGTTCTTGAATATGCATACGGCTGTGTTCGCGACGAGGTACCTGGCGGATGATGAGGTCCACGCAGACATGGCTTGTGTTCACCTGTTAACCGCACGGGAGAGTTGGAAGTGATTGCTACAGGTAGTGCGTGAACCCCGCTATCCAATGCTTTTCTGTAATCTCCTATGGACACTGACATTGGGCACGCGCCTGCTGACCCATATTCAATTTGGTGGCTTTGGGCTCCAATTTCTGGAAGGGTTTGCATGATTGCGCGATTGGAAGTGAATTGGTGCTCAAGCCCTATGGAAATTTTGATCAGCCGACTCTTGTGCAATGCGATTTAACGAAAGTTAGCTTGATATGCGTACTACCCAACCTGCGGAAGCCTACCTCAAAATGCTTAAGCCAGTTGTATGGCCAACGTCAGTACAGTCTGGTGAAGAATTCGTGAGGAACCCCAAGCAGCGGAGTCCATGTCAGCACTCCAAGCGAATTTCTTGTGGATAGTTGATTGCGATGTGGCCATCATTACAACAATTTGGGACATGTCAATAGTTTCCACTTGACACTGCCTTTAGGACCGAGACTGTTGGAGGCAATGAATCCAGCTTCTGCACCCAACTGAAGGGCTCATTCCCCTCTGTTCTTCGCTTAAACATAACACTATACTTACCACCAAATCTGCATTCCATCCGTGAAAGAGAAGACGCCCTCATGTGCGCTAGAGTTGCCGCCTTTTATGAAAGTCCTGTTTTTAACGGTAACTCATCTCTCATCGTCCGACATAAGAACCTTACCTCCTGTTCATTTCGAATAATGGTGGGTTATTGTCAACCTAAAAATTCACGAATACAACTCAGTATTTCTCGCGAGCTCTTGATTTCATTGAAAGGCTCTCGAGGTCAGAATTAGAGGCATTTTGTACGCGTACGGATAGTTTTTCCGAGTTGTATGCCCAGCTTGTACAAATAAGCATAGTTTTACGGAACGAATTATTTACTGAACACGGTCCATTAAGCTGCCCTCCACATATGCAGGTAATGGAAATCCAGCCGAGAGTCTCCCTATGTATTGGGTGGTACGCTCTTCATGTTTGACAGCGCTCTTCGGCCTGCTTTGATGTACTTATCCCGCTTCTCGTTTACTTTTCTCGTAGGATGAGGAATTGGGCTCCAAGCTCTTCACCCGGCTTAAAGAAGTTTTCACGAGGACCTGAATCTCTATCCCCCTTCCCGTTCAAGCTTTGATGTGCAGCCATTTTTACTCTTCATCTGTACATATATAGATTTTTCTATCTACTCCTTATGTTTGTTGTATTTTTGCCCCGAATTTTTATCATTTCCGTCATCCGGAGAGGAACTTAGTTATTTATTATACTACCGGCTGTATCGAGTGTTGTGTCGCGCTCACTCTCGCCTCAGCTGTCTTCTGTGGCCCCGCGAAACTAGGCTCACTGCAATGGCCATATAGCAGTGACCGTTTTAAATGTTGGACGGAACCAAATGAAGATTAGCCGGACTGTCCCCCCACCCGTCTGTTCTTTTTTTTAGCCCGGTCAGGGCAGTAGGAACTTACAAGGCGCCGATGGGGGTTTGTTGCTAGCGCAGGCAGTGAGTCAAAACTCATCTTCGGTCGTCTCTTGACTTCCGAGCAGGACCGGAGTGGAATGAAAGAGTAAGGGGGCATCAGCGCCAGTTCCCTCGCTGTCACCGAGCTTGCGTGTAAGTCGTCAGTGGTTGCCCTATATACTGTCAGTCAGCGCCGTAGTCGATGAACGAACTCTCATCCGTTCCTGCCGTCCGCACGTCGCTAAGGCTTTTATTTACGGTCGAGGTCTGGGAGTCAGGAAAGGTCTTTTTATGGAGTCCACATCTATTCTCACTTGGACTCCGTCGTGGCCAATGGCTAACCCTTCCGGAATGGGCCTTTTCTACTGTGAAGTCATAATCGTCCTTAGGTTTTTTAAAATCTACCTCTTGCGCCGAACTGTCAGCCCTCCCGGGCTCAGTTTGGGTCAGCCTTTGACACGCGCCTGAGCTGGACCCATGTTCGACAGCTGTAGCCCCGCCTTTTCGCGTAATAGGCACACAAGGATGACTGCCGGCATTGGTTAGTATTACGGCATGGAGACTTGGGAGGGGGGGGGACGCAGCAGACGTAGTCTGTAGTTTCGTGTTTGGCACCGATCATTGGGGCAGCACGTTATTAGTGGCCGACGATTGTTCTTAGAAAATCCACTATGGGTTTGCAGTAGTTTCTTTTAGGAGCGAATGTTACATGCCGGTGGATCCTGTTGTCCTGTCTGTAACCGGAAAATAGCGGATGCTACCGAAACGTCTTCCGTAGTGTGTTGATGTGACATAGCGACTGCACCGCGCGGAAGATGATGGGTGGTCACGCGGTCGTGGATCGCATCATCCGATCTGGCCTATGATTTGAAGCCGGCGGATTTGGGGATGGTGCTTGGAGAATTTGGCCGTCCGACCTCCGCAGAACTCGCTGAGAAAAGAATTAGGAGCTCTGGTTTGTCCGACGAAACTGCTTGATACTCCATGAAAATTCACCCTCGACGCCAGCTAGAAAAATTGTTCCTGGACCACCTTAGCTTAGACCTGCTAGCAGCTGAGATGTCAAGAAGTGTAGCTTCCCTATACTGCCTACGACCGAGAGGAGGCATTTAAGACACGCATCTGTTGTGCCTGTGAGTGGGAAAGAAACCTCAGATGGTACATTTTGCTGGTGCAATCCCAAACTAGAATTTGCATGTGTTTCTTCCTCCACGGCCCTCAAGCTCGAAGTACGTACAACATGTAGAACCGAACAAAGTCTGAAAATCTCAGGCTGAGTGCACGCGTCGAAAAACCACAGCCCATGTTGTCGCCTATGACGGCCCCGCTACTTTAGTCGCTTATTAGAATCCGTAGGCTCTTAACAGTTTCGGTGTTCAATGGGGGAGTTTTCTGATAAGCTTTACTGGGGCCTTTTATTTCTCCGTCTATGGTGTTACACTCCTCGGACTCATTGGGCCTCGAGGGCCGATTCTGCTCTACGCCTTCCCAAGTCTCATGTTTGGGAGAGGGAGATCTCCATGGCGAGCTTGTATAGTCACTTCTGTCCTCCATGTCTGCGGGTACCTACAACGACCTTGTCGTTGAATAGTCGCTTAGGCAGTCGTCCTTCGGTCATCCTCCCGATCTGACCGCTCCACCGGTGTTGTGTCTACTTCAACCTGGTGCAGATGCTGTGCATGCCCGTTCTTTCTAGGACATTGACTTCCAGGATTATTTCCTCTCACACTTCACCTGAAGCAACTGAAGTGGGAATGGTCTAGATAATTTACTTAGCCTTTGTATATGCGTCCACATGTGCGCCCCGTACAAGAACGTAGTAAGGATAGCAACTCTGTACAGCCTCAGTTTCTTTTCGGGGAGGATGCCGTGGCGATTCCAGCTGGAGTGCTAAGGCCGGCCGGGGACCTGTCTGTTTGGGATATTCGGCTGGCGATTGCATCGCCGATCTCGATATTTTTTTCAGATGGTTCCACATAGGGTTAACTAACCGAGCCACATAGGTAAGGCGAGTACCACTGACAGTTACACTGTATTGGTTGTATTCCACAGAAGGTACCAGTTGATATCCGAGCATGGTCTTCGTTTTAATGATCAGTGTGTATTTTGTGCAGCTGGAGGTAAAGAGCCTCACGCTTCGCTAAATGAGAGTCAGGTCGTCGATTCTGACAACGTCCACCGTGTACCCCACAACATGGTGGTGCAGAGGCGATGACTTAAGCATGAATTAATTTATCATGATGGTGGACTTGCACAGTGTCTGCCACACTCTCTTCTCTCGCCGGGATATGCTGTGATAAAGTCAGGGAGATCGGAGGTGGGAGAGAAGGCGGGCAACTGACGCGGCCGGAACCAGCGCCTAGGCGTACCACCACATCAACTCGGACCCCTCTGAGTTTGAGTGCCATAGAGGCTACATTAAGAAGCCATCGTAACCTGACTCTCATTCCACCAGTCGGCCGCTCCACAAAAACACATTGGGCTGACTGCGAGGTTCGAGTAATTTCGTCAGTCAGACCACAGCTTTTGGTACATCATGATAAATTTAAGCAGGTCAGAGTCTTTTTACTAAGGAGTATGCACAGAGACAGTCGACCCCACTCTCTATTCCCACTTCCGGACATCAGTCCACTGTCGGAGCCAGTCAACTTTCTGGTGCGAGTATTAGGCGCAGAGACTAAAGAAGCTAGAGTGCTCGTCTGAGCGTGCTACACGCACCATCTGGCTCTCCACAACATACCAGGATTTCACACGCAGGGGTGAACTGTGTAGGTCTCGCGTGTAGCAGATGGGTCAAGTGGAAAAGGAGCCAGAGGACACACTTCGTATTTCGTGCCTGCTGTGTGTGCTGTATGTGTTGATGGGCAAACTTGTGGTGATGTGGTTTACTCTGCGGTGGGTTACCCCAGGTTGACATGGAGGCACACGTGGTCAAGTAGGCCCATGCGGGCACTCCACTACATGACAGCTCGACCATCGTATCGACGATGTGGACTGTATGCTTCACAGCAAGGTGAGAGCAGGAACGGTGACTTGTGCGAAGGTTGGTTTGTAGTGATAGTGTAATTGTGCAGCACCTACCGCACTCTATCTTCCCCCACCTGGACCCGGTGTCACGACAGGTCAAGAAGACCGGAGACAGGCGAGGGCACGGGTGGCTGGCGCGACGAAAATCCGCACCAGGCATACCAATACACTCCCTGGAGCATAGCGTACACCGACCGGGATTTTATACAAGAGGAGGCGGGGGCGGCTCGAAAACAATTAGCTCGGCGTGAACCTGCACCTGGTCGTGTGACAACTCTCCCAATTCCGATTCACAACATACACTGACCAGCCTTCTACACCATAAGAGAAAAGGAAAAGGGTCTCCCAAATGGCTCGGCGTTCGCTTGTAAACACACGCAAACATATTTGGATTTCCTCGCTACTTTCGCAACGCGATCTTTTGTGAGGGGGACAGCTACCTACCATCAAACTCGAGGCTGACGACAACAAAGGCAAATAAGACTGGGACTACCGGAGACCTGAGGGCAGCCGGGGCCAGCCTGTTAGGCTGGCTGATGGCTACCTGGTATGCCCAAACGTGGCGGGTAGTGCTCTAGCCTTCAGCGAAGGTTAACTGCGAAATAAGTGTGCTAGGTAAGTCTGGGCATTGACAACAGACATTTGCAGATCATACGCGAATACACGAACGTAAACTGGACGATGGCTCAAAAGGGAAAATTGCAGCGACCAGGGGCGGTCCATTACAATCCTCCGCATGAACGGAGCGTGTTGAAGAGTACAACTCCTGCGGGAAACCTGATTATACTACATGATCATTGAGCAGACGGTTGCACGAGAGGTGGGCAACGCACGACGTAATAACTGACTGATTAGCACGACAGATGCGATAAAAGACTACAAAGATAATGGTGACACGAAGAACTTGTTCGTATCTACCGCCTCTAATTTGCCGAAAGTGCACTCTTACAACAACTTTATTGCTGTCAAATGTCAGCTTTCCAGCATGAGTGATCGTTGCCAATGCCCTCTTATGTGGTTTGACCCGAATAAACTGACGTTTCATACTGAGAAACGACAGTTCATACGTGAAGAGCCTTGTCTTCTGAAATTAGTTGGTCCCACAATGACATGAACGGGTCTTATGGGTTGTCTCATCCCCCGTTCGTCTTGATTTGAACTGCGCATAATCTGCTTGCTGGTTAGGGTATATGATAACAATCAAATATTTATTCATAGTCTGCGACCGATGACACCCTGCCAATGCCAGAAATAGTGGATTCACTGCGGTAGACCAGGAGGCCATGGAAGGTGGGGAATGGGAAAGAGGAGGAGGAGGGGGAGGAGGATAGGGGACCAAACAGGTCGTTTTTGTGACTGGTTTTGAAACACGCACTGACCAAAGCACGATAGACTTCTCGTTTCTTCCGAATTCAGTCACCTAACTAGCGTGGTATTTACAGTACTGAGGGGGCCAGAGGGGAGTGAAGTAGGGTAAAGACCTTTTGTTAAAACGCATACTCTTCAACTGACTAACAGGTTACGCAATTAGTCTTCGGGTATTGTTTTTATCTTGGTTGCCATTTGAAAGTTGGTCCAAATAAAGTCAAGCAGGTGTTCACCTTTGACCCCGTGCTTTCTA